TATTGATGAAGTTATTCAATATTATATATACCTACTGGATTAAATAGGCTACCTCAGGGAAGTATTTCATAAGAAAACAACTGTCTGAGGTAATTTTTTTAACTTTTATTATACCTTATCTTTCTTATATCCTAAATTCTGAATTTAATTAACCGTTCAATATTATTGAATAATAATTGCATTTATATTTAGGTAATAATAAATACTCTATTAATACTTTAAACTGAAAACAATTAGCCACAATCATTCTTATATAAAATATAAATATAATGTATTAATATAACTTAACCTTTTATGAATAATCACTTACTATATGTGATCGTCAGTGTAATTTTAATTTATAGTTATTTATAACTTCATTAAATGGTTGAAATTAAACTTTATACATTATTTAATAATTTAATTTTAATATGTTTTCAATGTATTCATTCTATCATTCCATAACATGAAAAGGTTAATCGTTGTGTGGTCCATATTTTAAAACAAAACATTTGATTATATTATGAGATGTGCTTAATATCGAATTAAAACAACAACGTTATTAGTATTTAGTAGGTAATTAATTGCATTTTTGTTTTTTGTAAAGTCTTTTGAAGACTGAAATATTACATTTTGTTAATTAAAATACAAATTAGCTATTATAAGCACTCAAGATTTATGATAAGAAAAAGAAATAAACTTAAAGATAGTTTGATTTTAATAATTTTATACTAATAATTTGTTATCCAATATTTCATATTCTAAATGTTCCCATGACCTTATAAATGTGATTGTCTCGTTATTTATTGTCAGTTATATAAAGACAGACAAAATATGTTCGTCATCCTGCAATATATTTTCCTTGTAGCTAGTTTTCTACAAAAAATATTTGTGGTTGGGTATATAGCGAAAACTAAAAAGTAGGAGTAGATTTTGTTTTTTCTTGGACATTTGGATTTTTATAAATAATTAAGTTATAGAAATCACAGTTGTAATATACCTAGTACCTATGCATGAAATATAATTATAGAAATTTGTGAAACAGTGTGAATTAATCGTATGGTTAACTTTAGATATTTAAATGATACCGAACTACTAAGTAAACTAAATACGTTTTTTAATCTAGAAATACGAGTATAATATTAAAGGTATCGCGAAAAATTGTTACTTATTTAAAATTCATGTTTTTTTTTTTCTTAACATATTTAAATATTATATTTGTTATACAATGAACCAGTAGTTTTTACAACCCTATAGAGTACACATCTGGAATTAAATCATAATTTATCATTATTTTGCTTTAGATTAAAATTTCTAATTTTTGAGGCTTCTTATTTTTTACTTAGGTACTTAAGGGCTTTGTGAACTAAAAAATTTGAGAATCGATTCTAAATACAATAGTTAAGGCATATTTTATTAATAATTCAATATTTTTTTTAACTTTTTAATCTTATAAAAGTATAATTTAAAAAAATGTATGTATAAATAACTGTAATTAATGATCTTTGTCACCGATGTTTGTAAGAACAATAAAAAAAAAAAAATTATAATTTCTCGTTTTATTTTTAATGTGAAATTTATATTTTGCAGTCTTCATAAATTGTTACTTTTTACATATTCCTCACTGTTACTCGTATAAAAACAACACATGTACCTTACTTATTCAAATTATATTGATCATAAATCTGATAAAAATCAATTTTGCTGAAAAAATAAATAATAACTTTTAGTTTTAACATAATGTTCATACGCATAATAACGGTTTGTTTTATGTGAAAGCAAGTGTATTTATAAAACAGTATTTCCAGAATTAAATATTTAACTAAAACAATTAAATTTCAATAATCAATCACATACCTATATCTGTATTAATAATTAGTCTCAGATCCTTTCAAACTATATTTATAAGGTATTATATTATTTCTAGGTTAAAACGTACTCTATATATTTTAGTTTTTTGATTTACAAGTAAAAATAAATGATTTTTGAATAAAAATGGATTGCTTGGTCATTTTATAATACTTAAATAAAAAAGAGATTAAAAGAATTTTATTATTTTGATGATTATTCTCAAAAAAATACTTTTAAAAACAAAGATTTGAATTGATGAATTATTATTTAATTTTGAACTACATATTCCAGAATTAATATGTTCAATAGCTGAAAAAGTTCCTCCAAAATCTTAAAAAAAATTAATACGTCATTATATTGGTTTAATGTTGATAGATGTGGTAGTTTTTATATATTCTAATGAAACAATCCAATATGCTCAATGGTAGTGTTATATTTTAGAATTTTCTGAAGTTTTTAGATAAGCAAAAAGATACCATATGAAGAATAAATTTAAAGGAACGAATTACGAGTATAAGCGMTGTAAGCGCAATTAGTGGTAGGGAGACTGAGACTCTCTACGTACCACTAATTTAACTCCTAGTCGTATTAACAGTGGACGATAATTCCTTCTCGTGAATTTTACTTCAATTTTCGATCGTGCCAATTTTTCCATTTTGAGTATATTACTTAATTTCTAAATTTATATTTATATCCTAAAATGTATAGGTTTAAGTCTAAGTATACAACTGATGCATTTTGTTAACAGAAACTATATATACTTAGATATTTAAAATTAAGTAAAATATTAAAATTTTCTATTCTATTGTTTGAACCTTCATTATATAAATATATTACAATAAAAATTTAATAACAATATTTGATGCGTCTAAGAAATTGTCCTATTATATGCAGGGCAAAACTAATTTACTTAATTATTTTATAATGTATATATTAATATATATTATTAGTTTTTCTACTTAATTAGTATTCTAAAATGAAAAAAGGGTTATTAAAAAAAACTATCTAGTATTTTATTTTTCTCAAGTTGAAAATTATTATTTTTACTATTATTTATTTTTTTTTTTTTTTTATGCCATTGGAGTTTAAAATGTTTTACAGTTGTTTTTTTAAGAACAAATAAATTAAAATATAAACAAGTTTAATATTATTTAAAAAACGAACTTATTTTCTGAGAGTGGGTTACATATTGATATTTGTTGCAGCATTATAAAATCCATTAAACTTTAAAATGAATATTCAATTTTTATATAAAAAATGACAACAAATTACCCACCCATTAGTAAAATAAATATTTGTTGGTTTGTATAAAGCTTGCATACTTTATTAGATACTTTTTACATTTTAAAACCAAAATTTAATTAGTGATCCAATCATAAAATGTAAAACAACTTGTATAAGTATAATTAATTTATTGTTATGCACCTGTGACTTGTAAGTAGAGTAAGACACGATGGTAAATTAATAATAATAAATAATAATATTGTTTTTTATATTAAAATCATTTGCGGTGTAATTAGGTAAGTCATCGTGTTATTGTAGCTTGTAGACTATTATTAAGTGTTTAATTAAATATTAATGTCTTAAAAAAACAATTCAGTGCAATTTATTTTTGTAAATTACTAGCTGATCTTGCCTGACATTGTTCGAGCAAAATTAAATAATAACAGTGGATTTACCGATTTAAATTCCGTTAAATTTAAACTACACATTTTGTTAAAATATAGATTTCAATAAATTTATTAAGTATAATACTATTACATTAAAGAGTTTTAAAATTTTTAGTATCAAAATTATTATTGATAATAGTTTATTAATTTATTGTCATTTCTATGGTTCTATATTTTTATTTTCATAATTTGCTTATCATTTAATTATAATATCACATTGTTCATTTCCTATGATTTATTGTATTTATATTTGTGGACTAGTATGTGATAAAAATTACATATTACAATATTGGAATTTAAATATCTKTGTATCTGAAAAGTGGTATTCAAAATATAAGTAAAGTTTGCGATGGGTGGGGGGTGTGGAGGTCAAACCCCCTACGGGTCTGTGTTAAGTAATTGTGCACTTGGAACGCAGTTTTTAAACCGTTGGATTGAGCGTCTCCACATAATTTTACCCAATTCGAGCACTGATAATAATATATTCTAACAAAGAGGTAATCAACTTTTAAATCGTTAGCGACCTACAGTTTAGTTTCCCCTAATATATCGTAATATTGTTTGAACACTCGTTAATGAGTCCCGAAGCGCGTTCCGTTATCGGTGCATGACATCTGTTTGCGCAGAATACTCTTTGCAATCAATTTATCACCTCCTGAATTACGTTGGTTTATGACACGTGACAAATTATTGTACGCAGATACTTTTGAGAGTATTAGGCTAAACTGCTAAAATATAGGTCGTAAGGCATAGGCGTAACTAGAGGTTTATTATTATTACATTTTTTGGGCGGGGGAGGGGCTATACATCTTTATTTTGCGTTTTCCAATAACAATGTTCAATAACTTCAATGTATTTTACAATTAGGAATAATAATTTTTTTACAGCAAACCTACCTCATATTTTACTATATGTATATTTTATACACCATACAATTTTAACTTTTACACTAAAAACAACATCAGAATAAAAACAAACAAGCTAAAATATATGGATATATTTATAAAAAAATCTTATTGATAATTAATTATCTAAGCAAGTAAACATATGACCTTAAGTTTAAAATTTAAATATATTTATGGTATAAAATTTAAACAAATAATAGGCCAATAGTACTCCTGGTACGAAATTCCTAGGATATTTGTACCACCCGGTATGACATTTTAAGAGGTATATAATTCCTAGGAAAATCATACCGGGGTATAAAATTTCTAGGATTTATCCCCGGATTTGACATTTTAGGAGATATAGATATCCTAGGAATATTATAGGAGGGGGGTATACATTTCCTAAGTTTTTCATACCCCCGTGGAGGTATTATTATCCTAGGAAATCAGTACCGGGGTTACTAATAACCTAGGAAAATCGTACCTCCTGGGGGTATGATTCACCTGTTACACCGGCTGACATATACAATGGCTAATTGTTAAGATGATAATATAATATATTAACCTACAACAGTACAACTCGAGTATATTATTAATGCATTTTACATTTTAGGAATACCATTGATCATTATTTCCACGTGGTGCGTCACAAAACTTTTAGTGCCGACTAAAAACGACGTAAGTTATCATTGAACACGTGCACTTAAAACATATAATAATAATTATGATAAAAGTTGACGCTCTTTTTTTATTAGCTAGATTTGTATAACCAGATCACATACGAAAGATACTGTCCTTTAATGGCATCATATGTAGACGATTGGATATACCAGTCACCGATAGTCATCGTTTTGCTGATCAATTCTACATTCCTTGTAAAAATTATGCGGGTAATTAATTTTGACAAAATCAAAAGTCCATAGATATTTTAAGGTCTATGTAATATAGTCAAACGTCATACTATTATTATATTATGATGTTCATTTTTGTCACCGGTTTTCATAAGGTACTGATAACAAAAATAAGGTCCACCAAATCCGCAGAAACGCACAACTACAAAAAGGCCACCAAAGCTCTTTTAGTGTTAATACCACTACTGGGCATCACTTTTTGTTTGGATATGATCAATCCCAGTTCCACGGGGCTACTGGTCAATATTTACAAATTTAGCAAAGTTGTAATCATCAGCACACAGGTGAGTACTATTTTTATAATCATACATCTGCAATATGTATAATATTTGGTTACAACTTACAACCC